TTATTGCATGCAACTCTGCAAGAGAAATTTAGCTAAACAATTTCCGTTGATTTTTTTGAATTATGTGGAGGGAGTTGCGAATTTTCTCCCATATAATGCATGAACAAAACTGACTTTTATATGGAAGAAAATGCGCAACACTCCACAAAAAAAACTCAATTGTAATTTTAAGCGACTTGAAACTTTCACTTTATTGTACTAAAATTGAATTGGCTATAAAACCGCATACTCCAAATCTTTGTAGGAAATCTAATTGAAAATATCGAAATTTTTATGATTTTTTTTTTTAATTTAATTATTTTTTGTGAAATATTTGCAACTGAAACTTTTATTTATGTGGTATCTGATACAGATCGACCCATAATTAAATGAAAATTATTAACAATAAATAAATGAAGATAAGTTGCCAACGGCAACTGAATTTTGCTGCTATTATTTTAACCGCAACATTATCTCTTATTTTGTTTTTATGGTTTTGTCAATTATATGTTTACGTACATCAATATTTTTGTATAAATTAAAAAGTGTTGCCATGAAATAAACGAAATTTATCACATGTTTATAACTAATCTGAGCATTACTTCGTTGAAATGGATCACTTTTGTTAATGTATGGTTCGTAGTTGGGCTTTTAAAGCAAATCCTTAATTTCGCAATTGTCCCGTTAAATTTTTGTAAATACCGTATTTGTCTCGTAAGGCTGAAAAAAAATCTGGCAACACCAGTCAACAACCAATTCCTTCTTCACCGGTACAGCGTTGCGTATACGTAACCTGTCGTGAGCACAATAACATTTGCTTTGCTGTCACTTGCCTTTGTTGCAAAAGTGTATGGGCGAGCAAGCGCCTATTTTAAAGCGATTTTCATGGTGTTGCGTAAATATGTGCGCCGCATGCAAGTGGAACGATCCCTGCTGCCACATTTTTTAGCACGCTTATAGAAAGCTCATCAGCATTCCTACCGTATTGTAGAGCTCAGTTTTATCATAGTTTTTTTTTTTCCTTGTATGCACTCAGTTCTTGCTCCTATATAAGCCATCTGGACTGGATAATAGTACTGTGTCAATCGGTAATGAGCAAATATAGTAGCTCAAATAGTAGTTTTTGGCGCTGCTCATATATTTACATAGGATTAATTTTTTCCATTTTTGTTTTGAAGCAAGCATGTATTTTCTACTGCCGAAAATTCAAATTTAAGTGGCGTATTGGAAGTTTCATGTCTGGCTGTGATTGGCTGCACAGTGGTGTAAAAGTTCGTAGTCGAATAATAAAATAGGAAAGTCATGTAAATCACAGAATTTAAAATTAATTTTCGTCGTTGACATCTTTCCAACTCGTCCAGCATTAAATGTAATAACAGTTTACGTTTCAGCTAAGTATGTACATAAACATACATAAATATAAGCAAATATGTGAGCAAACATCGCTTTAACTTCACCCACATTCACGTTCCCATCCACATCAACGCCAACTCTAAATCACAAAACTCCGCCGCTTCTAAGCTTAAGGCTACGATTTTATTTACTTAACCTCTGTGCTGTTGCTGCTCCACTTTAATATGCGAATGTTAAGCAGCTCGCATTTAAACGCTTCAATGCACATGCTCCTGCAGCGCTTTTGCTGAACTTTTAACCGTAATGTTTAGCATTTAGCTTTGCTGTTTAATGAAAGAGGTATTCAACTATGAGTACATATGCATATTGCTACTCTCGCGAATAAGCGGCGCTAAGTCTTTGCCTAAGCGCTTCTAAGCGGATTTTTTTTCGCAAATTTTCGTTACACCATTTTTGACTTTAGGCTAGTGTGCCACCTAACAGCTTAAATCACATACGCATGCATATGTGTGTGTGTGGAGCTTAAGCCGCATTCGCTACCCGCCTTCACTTAAGGATATTTTCATTCAATCTTTCCTTAGGCATTCATACCATTCATTTTCTTTCGAATTCATTCTTTTGCTGTACTGCAATGGTATTCAGTTTTGAATTCTTCCATTCACTACTTTTCTGTGGTTTTCTGTGCCATTTTGCGCGATGCTGCTGCGGCCGCTTTTGTCAAAACGCTGCACAAGCGAGCGACCGACTGGCTGAGTGAGCGTTGCCTGCCTGTATTTATGTAAGTGCCTTTATTGACATGTCATCTTAGTTCAAAGAACCCGTCGGATCTCAGCTTTTATATTCGCCTCGTCTTTGCATTATTTTCTACGATTCGCTGCCTCTTAGCCCGCCAGCTTTGTGTGCACTCGGCATTCAGTATTCAACATTTAGATTTCGGTATTCTACGGTGGCTTAAAAGTTCAGTGCTATTTCGAGTGTTAGTTTTGGCGGCGGCTTTACTATGTAGAGTATGAACCTTACTTACCCTTTCGCCTGTAACCGCGCACCCGCCATTGATTGCATTCTTACGCTGCTGGCAGCGAGTAAGCACTGCAGTGCATTATAAACCGACAATATTACTTCCATGCATTCATTCCATCATCTGTGCGCTCGCATTCATATTGCTTTATGTGTAAAACCACTAACGCTTCACTGCCTGCAATCTAGGATTACATGGCCGGGCAACACTGCGTATGAGTGATGTTGGGGGGTTTTTTTTTTATTGGTGCCCATCTGCGCTGGGATTTAAGAGTGCAATGCAATGCTTAGAAGCAAGCCTGTATGAATGCGATTTGATTTGGGGGTATTTTTTGTTGTGGCTTTAGTATATGCCAGCTAAATTTGAAGCTTTGAATTGGCAAATATAGTTTCATGTCGGTTTATTGGTCAGCATATACAAATGTATTTTGTGTATGTATCTGCCCCTCTATGAGATTGAATAAAATAGGAATAGAAGTGCATACACTTAACACTGTTATTAATGAAGGCAGCGACGCAAAAAGAGGTATTCAAAAATATTTTCGATGCAGTAATGTGAAAAAAACCTTTAAGACTTGGGTAAAAAAGTTTTAAATTTTACTACTTGTTGGCATTATTCAATCTTCTAAGCTTAGCTTTTACATACAATCGAGTTTTAGCGGCATATTTTTTGGCGTCAATAGTAATTTCAGCGAGTTTAAGCATTTCGTGGGAATATGGCAGTTAGTCTTAATGCCCCAAAATAGCACATCCAAATGATTGTAAAATTCATTTTAGCAAAAAAACAAAATTACAAGTTTCTCGGGCATCTAAGGTTGCATACTTTCAGGCGCACTACTTGCTAACTAAGCAAAGAGGCAAATTTTTTTTTCTAGGTTACCAGTACATACGCCTAATTTTCATCTAATTAAAATTACTCCGACTAATTAAACCTCTCATAAATGATAACAGATTTTTTCCATCTACCATTTATTTTATTTATTTCACGCAAATAAAGTCATATTAGTACCTTGGGGCTTCCGACCAACTATGTAATTGAGTTAAATATTCCTCTTGCAAATTTCACAAATTCTATGCTACTTTCAAATATGTTGCAAATTAAATGTAGGAATTGTAGCAAACTCGAATTCCCACAACATGCCCTCTGCGTGTCATAAAATGTGTGCGCGTAGTAGACGTATTTTCATTGAGGATGTGCACTAAATAGCATCGGTTATTCGGTTGCCTAGCAGGGGGATTAGAACGTTTGTGCAAAAGACCCAAACACCCTTCAATTGCTTGTTTCAATTTCTAGACGAAAAAAAGGTCTATTTTCCACGCGAATCCCCTATCATTCTATTAAAAATATAGCGATTATACTTTCGGTGGTTACACTTATGGTGGTGACCACTTATAACAAGAATCAACAAATAACAAAGGTTTACAGCAAAAATCTTCTATGGATGCCACTCCAATCCCTATGTAGAACCGTATATGCATAATTTTTCGATAGGCCTGATAGTTTTTGAGAAACTAATTGATAAAAAAAAAATATGAAAAAAAACAAAACAGTCATATTTTAATTTTTTTCCAGTTAAAGTTTGATTTTTTTTTGTATTTTTTTCATCAAGAAAGCAAAAAAATATATACATATATTAATTAATTTCTCAGAAACTATCATGCCTATCGAAAAGGGAATTGTACACGGTTTCATTGGCTTTCATTTGCTGTTTTTCGTATTACGATTGTTCAATTGGTTTGTAAAATATACGTGATTAAGCGGAACCACTATTCTTTTAAGCTGAATAACGCTAAATTGCTAATATCCCGAAAACGGATTCAGAGAAAAAAATTTACTCGATTTTCGGAATCACCAATCAATTCTACATTGGAATTGGATAGTGGCATCTGGAGAACAAAAACAAAACTAAAATTTGTGATCCAGCGTAATTAGTCATAAATTCCTGAAATATTTTCCACAAAGGTAATGAAAGTATCCACGGAAGTATCAAGTGGCTTATTTACATATCGCTGAAAATATTAGAGCAATTCATCCAAACGCGCAAATGCCTCCCTCGTAGCCATGTATACATCGTAAACTTATTTAATTTTGTACGAAAAATCGGCTTATTTTCAACTTGCAACTTGTTTAGTTACAAATCTATTAGTATTCGCACTTGCCACATCCCTAAATTCGCCGGATTTGACAGTCACTTGTCAAGCGACTCGCATCGCTCATACGCCCTGCTGTACGCTCACAGTGCCATTGCTCTGGCTGCTGACTGGCACTTGCAAGTAGTTGCAATGCTGTTGTGTTGGCTGCTGTGCTGCTGTGCTGCTCTGTGGCCCTCAGTTATGTATAATTTATGCAGCCATACTAATTGTAAGTTTGTTGTAAATTGTTGCAGACACAAAATTATTAAATCAGCTTGTAATTAAAATGTTGTAAATAAGCCACAACATATGGGCAGCAGTAGGCGGCACTGGTGCGTATTGAGTGCCAGCAGCAGCAGCAGCAACAGCAGTGAAGTGTGAAAGTTCAACTCAATTAAAAGTCAGTTACTTTGTGCATGTAGTAATTTGTAAACAAAAATTTTCAAAATAATTTTAATCAAATTGAAAATGCTGTCGCTGATTTTATTAATAATCGCTTACATTCCTTCTCTTTGCAGGTACACCATATTGGATGGCACCCGAGGTGGCCGCTGTGGAGCGCAAAGGTGGCTACAATCAATTATGTGATATATGGGCGGTGGGCATAACGGCAATTGGTAAGTTCACTTATGTATGTATATCATTTGACATGGCACGTTTGGCGTAAATACAAAAGTCCAGTTAGTTCTGCAAAAACCTAATAACCAACCGTACTTCGAATGGGGCGTAGTAGCAATTGTTCGGGTCATAAATATCTTTGAATACCCAAGGAATGCCTCTCTCAGATGTTTGTTTTTCTTGTTGTGGTGCCCGGCTGGAGTTGATACCTAAGTTATTTCACTCTTAATGGGGTCACTCGCCACAACAATAATTTCAATAAACCACCAACCGAACTAACTCGCTCGCTCGCTCGCTCACTCACTCACTCACTGCTGAATGCCACTTTTTACGGTGGTCGTTTGTTCGTGCGTAAAGGCTCTGTTATGCATACTTGGCATTGCATGCACTGCTATACCATTTTTACGTAGAAATCAAAAACCAACAGACTTTTACGTATGTAATGCTGTGCGTTGGGTAACCGCTTACACGCGAAGCTCATTTAACAGATTCCTTATGTGACAACTCTCAAGCAATGCCAAGTATGCATAACAGAGCCTTAAGTGTGTAGGCGACTGTGTGCTTACGATTTATGCAAGTTGTGTGTACATACATATGCACACATACAAGCAGGCAAGCGCTCAAGGGGCCTCATCGTGACGCAGCATTAATTTGCTTAGTACCCCATCTTAAGTCGCAAATTGTATGCCTTTCAAGGCTCTATAACAATTAATTCTACTTAATTTTTATTGGCGATTGCGCCTGACGTTTGTCACAGCCAATAAAATTTGTGCGAAATTTTATGATAATTTTTGCCAACGCAGACGCATGGCGTTTGCGAACTAAAGTACTACTTAGTGTTATGTAGGAATGGTAGTCTTTTTTCTTTAGATTGTAGATTACCCTAGCGATTCGCTAATCTCGTGGCCGCATAATGTGGCAGGTTTTTAAGAATCACAAAGTTTTAATAAAATTATACACAGTTTTTTCTAACGAAAGCAATCGATAAACACCTCACCCACTGGTCGGTCTATCCTCTTCCTTAATAATTCGTATTGTTTATAGTTTTGATTGACGTTCTTCGTTTACTTTCCATTTTTTCAGAACTTGCTGAACTACAACCGCCAATGTTCGACTTGCATCCGATGCGTGCGTTGTTCCTAATGTCGAAAAGTGGTTTCAAACCGCCCACATTGAGCAACAAGGAGAAATGGAGTCCCACCTTTCACAATTTCGTAAAGACGGCGCTGACGAAGAATCCCAAGAAGCGTCCCACCGCCGAGTGTCTGCTAAAGCATCCGTTCGTGCAGGGCGAGATGTCGGTGCGTGTGGCCAAGGAGTTGCTGCAAAAGTTCTTGAGTCCAAATCAGCAATTCTACTACTATTTGGATGGCGAGGAGGAGGTGAGTGCGAAAGTCAATTTGTATGCTACGTTATGCGTTTGTGTGAAGTTACGATGTATATAAGAATCTGTCAAGTATACATGCATACTACATACTTACATACATACTTATGTATGTAGCTTCATCCAGATAGACATGTGAATGCAGTCATGAGCTACAGAAATGTTTGAGCACTCGTAAATGTGGCATTGCTCCACAGTTTCCAAAAAGAAAGGAAAATATTTGAGAGGAAAACCACGTACATGCCCAGTCAGCAAAATATCCGGAGACGTATATGAAAATGAAAAAAATTCCGCACAAAAATCGGATATTTCATCCATTTTCGTTCGTTCTGTTACCCACTAAGGGCCGGTTTCTCTATCTCTGGTTAACACTAATCCGCCGTTAAACATAGTCACCGACGTTTTCGACTCCCTGTTATATGCATGGAGTCAGAACGTCGATAACGATGTTTAACCTGGGAGTTAGTGTTAACCAGGGATGGATAAACCGGCCCTAAAGTGTGCATCCGAACCAATCGTACATATGTCTAGAAATGTACCAAAAATAATTGTGAAATAATTGAGAAATAGGTTCGGCCAAAAATAAAAAGAAAATTTTCGAAATTGCCTTGCAAAAATACTTTAGACACAGGCGTGCACGGCGAACTTTTTTCTGGTTCGGTTTAATGTACATACATATATGGTAAATACGGGTATGTATGCAGGGTGGTGTGGAAATTCTCGCTTTATTCCCAAATGCTCATTTGGACGGACAAGTAATATTTATGGCGCTATCGAACTTTTGCGATTGACACTCGAAATAGCTTGCGACTGCGTTGGTAATATTTGGCGAAAAAGAGTCAAAAGTGTTTTGTACAATCAACTCTACCATGCATCTAGTATTTGTCGGCAGCGCACAAACAAGCATACAAGTGAGTGATGCGCGTAGTGCATGGCGTGAGTTGTACAAGATAAATGTGACTTGGTTTGTGGAATGTTTTCTGCTTAGATTTTCTAGAATCGATATTCCTTTGTGCGCCCTCGTCGATGATAATATTTTTTTTTGGCGAGCAGGCAATAGTTACTCCCTACGAACACATACAAGTGAGCAAGTGAGCTTGTCGTATACAATTTTTCGTAGTCCTCGAGCACTTTTAACCAATATTACGGTTATTTGTGGGACACTTTTCGCTGGTCGGGTGCCAGCGTCGCACTTTCACTAAATGGCATTTTGTTTGTAAAAAAATTTCTGCCAAAATCTGCTTCCCATTTTCAATAGCAGTGAAGTAGTTCTTTTTTTGAATTTTCACACACACACACACACAGAGTGGTTTGCTCTCTCACAGATTATTCTCGCCTTACGCTTGTCGTTCCTGCACTCAATTAGATTTATTGATTGTTAGGTAAACATTTTAGATGTATCTGAATGTGGAAGCCGAATAAAAGCATACACACTTGTGCACGTACAAAATTAGTTTTATTTACATACATATATGCGTGTGTGTGTGAGTATAGAGCGCTGAGTGGGTTCGTAAATGGTCGCCATGAAGTGGGTTGGCGGTAAATTAAAATTTTAAAATAACTGCTGAGGAGCATTGTTGCGTTTTTGGTGATGGCGATGGCCTACATATGTATGAATATTAATTTAGCTATGCTTCCGCTTCGCTGAATGCTACAAAATTTCGGTTGAATTTAACCACTAAGAGCGTGAACTGTATTTTTTTTTTTGTTAGTTTCATTGGAAGCACTTTTACTTACTTATGTATTTGTGAAATCATTCAGGCATTTATGCGTAGGATTTTAAATTGGCATAGTGTATGCGTGGATGAGGAAAATTTTTGCAATTTTCGGAATATTATAATTTTTAAATATACATTGGCCTACGAACATACGTATATACATACGTATTTAGTATGTTTAGTCCTTAGACAGACAGTCAATTTCTTTCTATATAGGACAATTTTTTTGTACCCTTTATATGTATGTATGTACATTTGTCTTTTCTATTCTAAGAGCTTTTATTGATTGCCTAATAGATTGCTGCAAATTTTATCAAAAGGCACTTAGAAGTGGATGATAATTGCTTGTAAATGTAATTTGAAGTATTGCTATTATATTTACGAGTATGTACGTTGTATGGCCAAGTCCGATATGGTGTATGAGTAACGTTATTCACATCTTATTCATTTATTCATCGATTTTCATCGTCAATAGCTTGATTTTATTTGCAAAGGAACAGGCTTTAATACTATCATACACATGAAAAAATTACAAAAAATCTGCTATTTTCTAAATTTTTTCCTTGTTAGAGTTTGAAATTTTTTTCATAAAAATGCAAATATCTTGGGAAAATGTCCTGATCTAGATAAACGGCATACAGTTCAGTAATCTTCGACGCAACATTAAGTTTACGTATTTTGGCGTTTTCTTGTGTCATTTCAAAACTTGAGATTTTCCCTACATGCGTCTCCCAAATCAGAAATAAATTTAATAATAAGGTATATTTCTTCTAACTAATTACGCGTTGAAATATATCTATTAGTTTTTTGTTTGTAAGCTTCCGATCGCGAACGTACGATTTTTCCATCATTTTTTATACCTTTTATGAACATGAAATGGTATTATAATGTTGGTCCGATGTTTTTAAGTAAGAAGAAGATACCCACATAAAAGTTTGCCAAAATGATCAAAACGCGGAGCTGAGTCGATTTAGCCAAGTCCATCTGTCTGTCTGTTTGAACGCAATCTAGTCCCTCAGTTTTCGAGATATCCGACTGACATTTGGTAGGCGAGTGTATTTCTATAATATATTAATCAGTTGTCGGAACCGCCAAAATCGGACCATTTTAGTTTTCGGTTACGTGGAAAGGCTCATTTGCATTCATAAATAGAGAAAATAATGAAAAATTAATCGATAAAAATCTATTTCTAAATAATTATTCTACCNCACACGGAAGTGGTGCAACGGAAATTGTGCAACGGAAATGGTGCAACGGAAATGATGCAACGGAAGTGGTGCAACGGAAATGGTTGGGGATGACCGACTTCAATTCTCATCGATTTTGTTATCGATATTTTTCTCGATTTTCTAACCGATTTTCGTTATCGATTTTGTTATCGATTTTGCTATCGAAATTTTTATCGAAATTGTCATCGATTTTGTTATCGATATTTTTATCAATTTTACTGTCGATATTTTGTTGGATTTTACTATTGATTTTGTTATCGACAGAGTATA